AAAGTCCTCAGGAGACCTCAGAGGACGCACCCAAGGCTCCTTGACCCAAGGCAAGGAAGAGCATGTCAGTTTCTGACGTTGAGGGCACTCGAGCAAACCGCCAAGAGTTGCAGAGGCGACAGGGCTGAGGGATGTTCCGTCCTGCACAGGGTGAACGGGACTCCCTCCTCCACCAAGTGACCTCCCCCGTGTCTGATGGGGTGGCCGCCGCTCTGCCCCACTCCCGCGAGCACACACGCTTACTGGACCCGGGGCCACTCGGCCACTCTCTCTGGGGACGAATCGGACCGTGTCCAGAGCGTGGGGAGGTCACAGTCAGTGACGAGGAAAGCGCAGGACACAGACAGCGCCCATAGGGTGGGAAGGGAGCAGACGCCTTCCCAGGGGGTGGGCGCGCTCTAGGGGCCCAGCTAGGGGGCTAACCTGACCTGGTCCTGGACGTGAGAAGGTCATAGACAGCGAGGCGGAAGAAAACAGCAACGTAAATGCTGCACCCTACCTAGACACCCTGACATTCAGGGCTGGCAGGACCCCCGATCTCGAGGGTGGTTGTAAGAGACACAAAGGAGCCCCTCGGCCATATTGCGTCTCTGTCCCCAACCGACGGGGATTCTTTTTTTTTTTTTTCCTGATCAAGTCTCGTTTATTGGCAGTAGGGCAGAGGCTTAAGTCCCAATGGGGATTCTTGATCTTTTCTGGGCCTCAGCTTTCCCAGCTATAAGTCAGAGGAGCGCCCGTCCTCAGCCCCCTGCAGGAGGATTTGAGAGCGCTCCTGCCAGGAACATCAACTTCTTAGAATTAGCTTCTAGAATTAGCTTCTTGGAATTAACTTCGTAGAATCCCGAGGGTGTGTTTTTGAAGGGAAGGTGAGCAAGCAGAAGGCAACGCAGTGGGGAGGGAAGTTTGACAGCAAAAAGCCAGCCCCGGCTGACATTCGGGGGGGTGGGGAGGGTTTAGGAGTGGCAGTTGTTTCCGGGTGGCATGGAAGGACTTTTGAAGTAGCACATGCCTGGAGCATGCCCAGAATAGACACTGTACAGTGGCTGAGCAGTGTCCAGGAAGGCTGCAAGAACAGCTGTCCTCTTCCCTGTTTTTCTTAAAACTTTCTGTTCTCCAAAGCATAATGTCACCTTTAGGCTGCGGCGTCAGCGTCACCTTTTTTTCTTTTGTCTTGATTCTCTGCAAACTCCTGCAACCTTGACACTTCTTAAAAATTAGACATCTGGGCCGGGCGCGGTGGCTCACGCCTGTAATCCTAGCACTCTGGGAGGCCGAGGCAGGTGGATTGTTTGAGCTCAGGAGTTCGAGACCAGCCTGGACAACGTAGCGAGACCCC